AGGTACGGCAGCCTGGCCAAGCTGGCCGCGGAGGGCGGCTGCGGCTGCAGCTTCCACATCTGCGGCAGCCTCTTCCCGGGCAGCTCCTGCACGTTCACGGGCACGCCGGACGAGCTCGACTGCGGGGGGTACGGCGTCTGCCAGCACCAGATGGTGGGTGCCTCTCGGGGAACAATGCCTTCGCCGAGGGAGGCAGCGTGGATGGGAGTGGGAATGCATGCATGTGGACGGGAGTTGGCACGCCTGGGATGTGGGTTGGAGGGAACGAGCCAGATGGAGCACCCGTGGGCCGACGCTGAGCGGCCCAGATCCGCCCTGGCCGTCACGCAATCGTCTCCGCCCCCATGCCGCGCAGTTCCTCGCAGCGTCTTCTGAGAGGGTGGCAGCGTGGGAGCGCGCCCCTGGGGCGGCGACCCGATGCGCGCCCAGGGGATCGGCGCCGGGGGCGTTGATCGGCGGCGACCTCGGGGCCGGTCGCCTCAAGCCGGGCAGCGGCCCACGGCCATCACATGACGGTCGCGCATGGGGCGGCTGGCCTCGCTTTCGGGGCGGGTGTGGTGCGCACCGGCGCATGGGCCCGCAAAAAGGCAGTGGAAAAAAGAACAAAAAAAAGCACGCTGCGATTTTGGGGACCCCTGGAAACGATCCGAATGTTTGCATGGATGGATGCGTGTTCGAGGGAAGGAATCGCCCGCGGCGACAGCGTCGATTCAAATCCCCCTCATGGTGCTGTCGGGACCGTAGGGACCAGGGGCGCACCATCCGACAAATCGGTTGCGTTCTTATTCTCGCATTTCTACCTTTCCATTAAATCGTGCCCCAGCCCGCAGTGAATGAATGAATATCCTTACAGGCAACGTGAAAATTCGACACATTGGTCACGTCACGTGTCTCTGCTGAACTTGGATAGTCAAACAGCGTCCCGTACATAGTGGTCTACACTTGACCTCACGGTGATTGGCAAAACCCCCACCCCACTACATCAAGGAACACAGCGTCCATAGGTCCAGAGAGCAACACACTCAGGAGAGAAACCCACTCCACAGTACGATCAGTACCTGGCAGTGGCATCTTTCATGCGGCTTGCCACAAATTGACCAAGCGGTACGACTTTCTTGGTAGTACCAAGAAGGTCGCAAGGTTAGTCATTTGTGTCCCTTCTGTCACAAGTCTAGTCATGATATCTGAAAACTGAAGTGGCTTCCTGCATAGCTGGTGCTTTGTATGCTGTTTGAATGAAAGGATGTTTGTGGCGCGGTACCATTGCAAGGGCCTTGCTACAAGGCTGCACTGTGGCCAAGCATATTGGGTTCGATGTGCTCAGGTAAATACAGGTGCGTCATCAGTTCGCACGCCTGGTCCTCTCTTATATAGCAAGGCGCCACTTCCGCAAGACGTTCTGAGGGACATTTGCTTGACAGAGGTGAGAGTCACAGCTTTGAATTCTTTTGAACTTTTGACAGCAACAGAAATCCAATGCATTGGGTGTCGATGCCTTCAGTGCCTTCATTGAGGAGCTTCTACCTTACAGTCTGAAGTGTGCAGTTCCCTGTGTTGCACTGCTTTACGTTGGAAACATGGCGAAAAGGGTCTGGTGTGTGCACACAATGTGTGGTGATAGGCTATGAAAAAAACCCAACTTCCATATCCTTGGTTTTGTTGCATCTTCATGGGACAGGTGGTGTTGCATGGATATGTCATGACTCTATATGTGTGCATTGAATTGTGTCAAAAGTGCACTGCTGCATCTGGATGATTGGTCACATCAAGAGATGTACATGCATGCTCCAGAAACTTGAAATTGTCATATGATCTTATTTCCTTGGGCATCTGAACGATGCAAATCGTTACTGCCCTCGATATGAAAACCATATTTGGCAGCACCATGAGTACTGCCCACCCTGAAGGGAGCTGCACCATAGAAAAAGTGGTTGCATATGAAAAGTGGTTGCACAAGTGCTGGGCTGCTGGGATGCACCTGCACAGAGGATCTGGTGATTTCGAACTTCATGCAGGCAGTCCAACTTGTGACCAGTGCTAAGTATTCTGGGCAAAATAATCATCGCCCCAACAACCCCAACAAGTTTTGCTACTTAAGTATAGGTTAGGTTGAACCCAAAGTATCCAAACTTCCATGAATTGTTATGACAACACCTGTGCATGGTATGTGGACCTCTAGATGTGACCAGGTGGTGTCCCACCCCCTCCCTGGCATGTTGACCCTGCCCATTTGTGACTGCTGTGGCCACAACCATGAGGTGGCTGGCAATCACCGCTTGAATCTCTGCAGACCAGAGATGCCAGCAATACATTCTTGCAGTGGTGCTGCCCAGGACTGGCACTTGTCATGACCAAGGGTGTCGTTTCCTCTATTCCAAACAGGGAATGGAAGAAGTCTTCAGAAATGCCACGAACCACAAGGATGGGGAATTCACTCCATGGTTCTATTTTGCACTTGTGCGCTCTGGGGTCATCAGGTGAGTCCCTGCAACCCGCACTGATGTGAATGGGAGGTATGCAGTGCTTGGTCGTGGTTGCCGCACATGCAGCAAAACAAGATCAGCAGCCAGAATTGGCATGGCATAATTGTTGACAGCCTAATAAGCTTGTACTGGATTGGCTCTCTAAGGTGCTCTACTATGGCACATGGAAATGGCGTCGGCAGATCTTCTGACGCGAACAGTGCAAAAGTAAGGACTAAAGTTGCCTTGCCACTTTTTGGGTGAAAGCTGCCAGTCCCCAGAATTTGCTGAGCTCACAGGTGACAGTTACTCACTGAATTGTTACACACGTTGTTTGCAGGAGTTGGCCACTGAAGCCTTTTGAAAGAGATGAGTTTGGAAACTGCACGCACTATGATCCGGTGGGTAAATACTCCCCATATAGTGCTCTGGGTGTCTGTTAAAGCCGTGTATGAAATCCATATATGCAAAGGTCTGATGGTTCTGCAAGTTAGCAATTCCTACGCAGTAGCAATTCAATTTATTTTTGTATGGTAATGCTGTGCATTTTTTGTTGGTTTGGTACCTTCTACAGAACCCATTTTATGCACATGGAACCTTGAGAATGTGGAACTTTTGGTGTGTTTGCAGCACTGCTGAAGTGCCACATCCTTTGACATTGTAAGGTAGTGCAATCGGAATGTCGATGGATGCATAGAGTTACCTTGTACACTGACTAGAGTATTGCTGATGTGTGTACTTGTGATTGGAAAAGCATCATTCCATACAGTGGACGTCATGAGCCTTTACCATATGGGGAGTTGTCGTGTGCTCGCATGACTGGGGTGTGCAATGATGTCCTAAAACAGAGGACGCGGCCATGGTACAAGGTGGCAACATCTGAGCCAAAGAATGTGGTCATTATGGTGGCGGCTGGAGGTGAGCAGGCTGAACGTGAAAGTGACTGCATGCTGTTGTAATGCTGTAAAGAGTGGTTGAAAATTGCAACCAAGTTTCACCTCGCTCAGCAGGCACCAAGTCCAATGCCCTCCTTGCCAAATATGTTGGCCATCAGGGCATGATTTCTTGTGCAACGACGACAGCAATAGCTTGGCAAACATAATGCAATTCCAAGTGACCATTGCGGATTGCAGCAGGAGCATGTGAAACGTCTGTTGATGCCATTGTCTGAGCATGATGATACGTGACCTTGCATTGATTTGTTGACCTCGGGAGCCTGATGTGATGTTGAATCGATACTGTGGCATCGGCATTGGCTGTGTTAGTGCTGTGTAAATAGCAACTTTTTTTCTGAAAGGATGTTTCTTACTGTCCCATCAGGCTCTATGAATGCAAAAGTGTCCCTAGCAAGCAGCGAAAATGTCCCTAGCAGGTGGGAGGCGGCAAAAGATGCAGTGAAGGGTATCTTGAACACACTTGACAACGACCATGATCTCGTAAACGTGGTGGCATTTCGCTCCAATTCCGAGCCTCTAATTGGAGATGGCCTGCTCTTGGCAAACGAAAGCAACATTGCGAGCTTGAAGATGGCCCTTGACAGCATAAACCCAGGCTCCACTGCGGACAACAACGAGGCCTTCGAGAAGACCTTTCAACTCTTTGAGAACGCATTCGCCGCATTTCCGGAGAATAAACCTTGCCAGAATGTGAGCAAGGCGAATTTTCATTTTGAATACCGTGAATGGGTGAACATCCTCACAGGCAACATTTCTGTACCATGAGGATACGTGTCTGCTCGTCCATTGAGTTTCAACTGTTTTGCAACTGCAAACGTCAAAATGGACGTTGGTGCTGTACATGGCGAAAAAGCGTGAAGCATGTTCAAATCGCATATCTCAGTTGCGTGATGCCATTTTGTGCAGATCATGTGCATGCATTCCAATTCAACTGCAATCTCGAAAAAAAAACTGCAGGCCTCCGAGCTACACACTCTGGTGCTTTCTTTTTTAATATCTGTATGGAACCTTGCTGCTGCAGATCTGGCCGGACATGCCACTGGTTATCTTATCCACACTGTGCCATAATGCCACCACCACTCGTTGTTGTATTATTGTGTGGCAACCTAAGGGATGCTGGGCACGATTTAAACAGGCGATGAGTCGATTTGCATTCCAAGAGTGGTATATGAACTGCATGAATGCAGGGTTTGGACTTCAAGCCTGATTCAAATCTTGATGTTAAAACAGGCACATGTACAATAAGATATAAGTTATCAGATAAGATATAAGATAAGATGAGAAAATATATAAGATCTTAATAAGATATAAGACATAAGATGAGGGAGTACATCTGTACCCTTTTTTGTGTCATTGAATGCTCCTGTGTCCATGACGCCATCAAAAGCAAGTGTCGTATTTGCATCCTGGCTACGTGCTGAGCATCAAAAGTGATATGGCTGGGGACATGGGCACAAATGGTATAATTTGGGTATGGACGATTGTTCTGTTTTTCTCTTTCCCATGGTCCAATGCTCAATCTTTGTCTTCTCCTCTCGTGCAGATCGTCATCCATATCGGAGATGGAAACGACTGCAGCGTTATGCCGGGGGAGGAATGTTCTCTGAGGGGCCCTGGCGACGAAGGGAAGAGGCTTCCAGACGGCATTCAGCTAATATTGAGGAATGTGTCAGAGATGCAATCCAGAATCGGCGGCAGTCGAGTATCCATTTTCACGCTTGCGGCTGATGAAAAGAATGACATTTTTGCCCGCCAGCTGGCATGCGAGAACGGGGGCGTCTCATCCATACTTGGGGGTGTGTCTTATGTTTCTCCTGAGGGTGCTTGAAGCTGCGCCTGCATGTGCGCATTCCTTGATGCATACAATGCTGTGTGAGGGATTGTCCCAACATCATCCCAGCACATATCCCAGCATTGATGCTGGTTTCTTGCAGCTCATCCCGAATGTATTGTCCCACTGGCTGTGCGGCAGGGGGTCGCTGTTTGCGCAATTCGTCCGTGAGCAGCGGCTGATTGCAAGGATTATCTGTGATCGACCAAGTGAGTGATTGATCTGTTCATGAGATATCTTCGGGTAAAGTAGACAGTTTCTGCCACTTCGGAATGTGCGTGTACCAACAGATATTGCTCCTTTCTCTGATCTCTTTGTACTTCCTCGCAGGATCAGGGGAGCCGTTGAACAGCCTTGGAGCGTACTTCCAGTTCTTGGGATTTTCAATGGAGGCTAGAACTGAGGAGGTGCCAGCTTACACGTGGGCCCCTCTATACACGGACGCCAGCGGGCTGGGAAGACTCACCACCTTCGTGTATCCCGTCTTTGTGCATCCCACGTGCGCGAATGGAGCGCCGTCAGCAGATCGCCTACTCCTTGGCGTCATCGGCAGGTGACATTCGAGTCATTAGTGGCGCGAAATTGTGATTGGGGAGTTTTGGGCTGCCGTTCAAACCAGGCTTGGTTTTTACGTTTACATTTACGTTTTTACTTTACGTTTTTATGCGTAAAAACGTAAATTTGCAAAAGGGCCTATTTTTACGGCTATTTTTAAGTTTTTACGGCTACCTGAAACGCCCAGATTACACGATGAAAGTTGCGTACAATGATCAGTATCCGCCATATCCAGCACCTCCAACACAGTGTCCACCTCGTCCTTGGCAAGGGTGATGATGGTGTTTAGCAAAAACTCGTTTTCTGCCCCTCCCAGGGCGCCTGGCTGCCACTCTCCTGACTCCGTAAGTCTGTATGTACTGTCCTTATGTACACCGGGCAGTTTTTACGTTGTATTTACGTATTTTTACGCATTTTTACGTGTAAAAACGTAAAAACTGTTTTTACGCGTAAAAACTGTTTTTACGCGTAAAAACGTAAATACGATCAGTTTTTACGGCGTAAAAACCAAGCCTGGTTCAAACCAAGTGGCCTTCCTAGCGGGGCCACAAGTCCGATTTGTGGCCTGGGAATCGTTGCAGCTCTTGGTATATCATGTATGTAGATGTGTCATGCACAAGTGCAGAACATGGCATGATCTTGATTCGCTGATTGATCCATATGTCGTTTATTTAGGGTGCTTGCTTGCTGTATGATTGAATGGAAGTGTCTAATAACGTGCTCCTCATAACGTGAAGAGGAGCACGGCAATTTATTCTGCAATGAAGTACGCACGATACTTCCATCAGTGCCGCTTTTGCGCGCTGCCAAAAATTTCAAGTTTTGGCAGATCAGCCCTCGGTACTCAATCCACATTTTGCTAATGCGTTGATTGGCCCCTCCGGTAGGGATGTGACGTTGGACATGCTTTACGAGGACGGTCTGAGGAATGAGAGAACTGTGGAAGACATGATTATACGTAATCAAGACAGAACTCGGACTTGTAACGAGCCCCATGCACCAGACGAGTGCAAGCTGCAGGTGGTGCTGACGTGATTCAAGCGATTGGGCGAACTTTGTCATCGATTTTCCGTTGCATGTTGTTTGTGCCATTAGTATCCCCGTGGCCGCTGACGAGCCTTCGTTTGGGACTCTTGTCTGAGAGCGCATCAAACAGCGTGTGTACATAACCCACCCAAATTGGTGCGTATTTCGTGGTGGAGCATACAAAGCATTAATCCACGTAAGTGCATTCCCAGATTTTCTATCCATTAACGTTACTTTGTACTGCTTCTCCAGCGCAAAATGTTGAGTTTCTGTGCAGATAATTGTAGAAATGGTCATTGCGTGGCCTCAAAAATGATTTTCATGGCAAATTGCAGCATTAAGAATGAGATGGCGACGGCAGACGTCTGCCGATTGGTCGACCAGTCAACGTAGGCGTGAGTCCCAATTTGGGCCTGATCATTGGCATTGCGTTAAAGCCATGCCGATAAACTGCAAATGTAGAAACAACATATGGCAGTTGGTGCTTTTGTTGCATGCACAGTACTGCACTTCAAACAGGATGCAAATTTGCGGACAGAATGTTGAAACATTAAAAAAACCGACAATTATTGTATCTTGACTTCTGCATATGAACAGTTGTGCTTGCAGCGACACATTCCCCTTCTTAATAATACAATTACCATCGCTGCCCAATCGGGAAGACCTGAGAAGATCTGTTTCAATCACAGGCGGCTCCGCACGAGAAAAGAAGAAACAACATAATGCATTGCTGGCAAGCGCATTGATACTGAAAGCCGTTTTCTGTTAGGTTGCGAAAAATGCACTCAAAATGGACGTGCACAAGGTGGTTACCCAAAACATTGCACTGTCTCTGAACGATTGGCTTCATTTCTTCATGCAACTGTTGACTTTTATAAATACTTGTCAATGGAAGCAGCTTTGGGACCAAACTTTCATGAATATGCTCACCAACGGAGATCGCGAGCTACGTCACGTTTTGGCCCGCTGTTGCCGAACGCCACCGGGGCACAACCTCACTGTGAACTGCTTGCCTTGCAGGCCCTCCGCAGAAATTCGGGTGTGGAGTGCCCCCTCCGATATTTCCAGAATGCAGACGATGGGAAGGTGCAGCAATGCCACCGCTTCAAAGGAAGGCTCTATTTTCTGGGCTCCTCGCGCATGGATTTCGAGACCTCCAAAGCTCAATGCAAGGATTTGGGGGGCCGACTGGCGGAGCTGGATTCAAATAACGTCGAAGAGGAGCAACACCTCTTAGCAGCCCTGGCGCCACCAGACGGGGCATGGATCGGACTGCAACCTAAAGGGAACGGCTGGGTGTGGGAATCTGCTCCTAATGTTTTGGTGAGATGCTGCGGTGGCGGCCCTACTCCCCATTCATATGACGCAGCGGCAATACCGTTCTTTCCACCACAAGCTCCATTGTCCAAACGAGCGAACTGAGTATGTTGAAGAACTGGGAACAAACAAATAATATGTGGAGTGAATGCCCGCCACAAATTTCCCAGCGTGGGCAATGCAATTTAGATCCCTCGCTTTCAAATGCATCATAGCGCGTGATAATGGCCGTGTGTATTGGCACACAGTCATTCCTTTCCAGAAATTAGATTTCCCGGGCATACGGGCATCTGCTTCACATTGCAAACCCACGATATAAAGCCATTTTGTGTATTCGGGCATCCCTGCGCAGTGGGGCGCCACTAGTAATGCGACTTTTTGCAACGTTGCTAACGTTCTTATGGTATTTACCCATTCCTCTCTTTTCCTGATGAGGAGAGAATGTGCCTGCAGGTCTGTTTATCAACAATGCTTCTCAGCACGCCTGCGCCTGCGCAGAGAACTTAAATTTTCATTTGAGCATGCATGAAAATGATTGCGAAACCATGTGTCAATTACCAGCGCTGTAGGTGTGGGCGGCTTGGCTTCACCAAGATCCATTTTAATTTATTCTTATCCATTTCAATGCGTTTTAATCCATTTTAGTCCATGTTAATCCATTTAAGGAAATGCTGGAACTCATGCAGGCCCCCGGGTGCCTTCGACATGACGACAAGAGAATTCTTTTTCCAGAGTTCCTTAACCTAACAGTCTCTGCGGCCCCGCGACTGACCTGCGTTTCTGGGCTGATGCATTGCTGACGTTGAGTGCTCTTGGTTACGTCAGCTGGACTCAAACCAAACCAAACGATTCTGGAGCGTCGAGCCGCAAAAGAACACGAAATGCCCACGGGGGTTCATCGACCCAAGAAACGCGTCGCGCAACATTGGGGCCAGGGATTGCAGAGAAGAATCCGCATACTTATGCGCATTTGACTCTCTTCCGGAAATTTGCAAGGTACGCATCCGAGAAGCGCGTTGACGCTGGGTGGTCATGAGCACAATCACATTGAGTGCGTTCTTTCCGGACTGCTGTGCGGTGTAGAAAAAATCCATGCGAGCACAATCACCAGGAGAATGGGACTGGCGAAAGATGTCTCCCACATTTGCCGCCTGTTGCTGCGCATGTCAGCTGGTTTGTGTCTGCTGCGCATTGGGCATGCGCCTTGCACTTTACGCATGTGATTTTGTTTTGTCGGCTGGCAGCCGCGGTGAGGGACAGGCGCTGTGGACCGCGGCTAACGTGGCAGCGACTGTGTCCTCTGTCAGTTGAACCCGTCAGAGCACACCCAAGGAATGAAACACCGGTAATCAAATAATAAATGCAATTGGTAGGCTATTTTTTCAATCGCCGGTTTTCTGTACGAAATCTAACAGGTGTCTCCTTCACGAACGACACAGGTACAGCAAGTGCATGATGTTCCAGACGCATTTTTCGATGATGGGTGCCGGGCGGCGGACAGCTGTCAGTTGAGCGAGGATCTCGCCGGCAACAGAGCGAACCTGAAGGACACCGCAATTTGTGATCTTGGAAACCGGTCGAGCTACCCCGATGTGGTGTGCTGCTCTGAGAGCTCTCTACCGGAAAAATGCCCGCTGAAGGTCAGTTTTGTTGCAGCTTTGAATGGCTGAGGCCGTTGAGACATCCGCCTCTCTCTCCACTGATCAGAATTCTACAGGGACGGTAACCTGGCTGAGTTGATAGCACTGTGGATCCAGAGATTGGCACTGGTTGCACCCATCTGTGCCAGACCAACCGAATTGTCTTCCCTTGGCTCGAAATGTGGCTTCCCAACTCCATTGAGTCCTGTTCGGTTCGATATAAATGGGGCAAATCTAACATAATGACTGGCAGGTAATTTAGCTACATACTATCGCTGAGTTGGCGGCCCGTGAGGTCCACAATGTGGTCCAGAATTCATTGGATAGGCCGTGGCAGACAGAGGCACAACATTGAGGATCAGGTAATCAACAGCAAGGGACAATGGAAGTCATGAATGGCCATTTAAGTCTGGGACATGGGCGGCAGAACACGCATGCAGCTTTAGACTACACTGAATTCAACTGTGGCTCAAGACATGATGCCTAGACTCACCGATCAGAAAATGAGCCAATTTGTCAGCATGATGCACGTTTGACTCCTCAATGACAACTGAGAGGAAGGCCGTCCGAATCGGCATAGGTTTGAATGTCAGAAAAGTGTGAAAGTTGTTTGCTTTCACGTTTGATGGCTCTTATATTTCTTTCTAGTGGCACTTGACAGCGAGCAGGGCAACGTGACCTGTTTGCTTAATGAACATCAGATGCGGTATCTGTTTTTGCATGTTCTGACATGGATAGCTTGTTCATGGATGTGCTGGTTGAGTGACATCATATCGCTTGAATCGCCAGGATGGCAGCGTGCGATGTGCGTTAGTTTTTAGTCGAACTGATGCGGCGAAAGATAGAGGGATGAAGTGGCCATTTTTTCTGTAGCCTGGACGTGTTCTTTGGCGTTGATGCAATCCTTGCGTGAGGATTACGTGAATGGCCACAAATATCTTGCAAAAATGGGACACCTGTTCGGGGTTAGGAGGGCTGGGTGGGAACATGATGTGAACTTCCACAGTTGATGGGACATTTAAGGGATCAAAGTGGATCTGATGTGCTGATATGTATGAGATTTCGAGGAGCTATATTGGATGGTTGCCGCGACATGTGCGGCGCCACAAGGTCACGCTGCCGGTTTTTTGGGGGGCGATGGAGCGAAACGAACAAGAGTTTGTGCAGTTGTGCGTGCCTTGCTGATACTCTCCAAGTGTGTGCTCTTTGCGCACGGGTAATGGCGCGTAATGTGTTTAGTTTGGCTTCAGAGCCAGCGGTTTCCCATCCCAAGCATTCGAATTTGGGCGTGATGCACCCACGGCATGCTCATCTTTCGAGCTGCATGGGTCTATGAGGGAATTTGTGGGGATCGCTGCGGTTTCTGTCGGAGTTTCTACCCATGTCCTTTTGGATTGGATGCGCCCAGACATGCATGGCCAGTGGGCAGGTTTTGCCCAAACTTTTGTGGCCTACTCGCCAGCGACATGCATGCCAAGCGACCGGTTTCGCTGCCTTTTGTTGCGCTCTTCAACCGCTCTGGCGTAGTGGACGACAGAGCCTTCTTCGAAGACTTTCACTGCGCACCCCGAAGGGTCTGTCCACGCTTGGGCCACGATCTGAAGAGCCTCATACTTGCATCGAGAGTTGGCAAGTAGCGTGCTTGATATCTGCCTACCCCGCCCATCGCGTAATGGCAGCGCTCTCAAGTGGTGTGCTGTGCAACGGCAGGGTTCTGGCGATGTTGGAGTTGTCGTATGGGTGGCCTGGGGCTCGGCAGCAGTAGCAATGCTCGTCGCCGCTGCTGCAGTTTACTACTACGGGCGTGGAGCATGGACTAGAATTAAGAGATGGGCCAGAATACACCAAGACTCCTTCACCTTCAGGCCTCCCACGCCCCGACCGAATGTTGTATACTTGCCTTTGGGCCAAGGCACCGTGGCCTTGACGGGGAACGTGTTGGGTCAAGGATCATTTGGGGTCGTGGAGGAAGGAAGATATGTGAACATGAACGGATCCACCCAGTACGTGGCCGTCAAGCTGGCGCCGGATCGTTGTGATCGTGATAACGTAGAAGCCATGGAAGAAGAGATGCAGATGTACGAGAGCCTGCGCTACCTCCCGCATCGAAACATTGTGACCTACTTTGGCGGAAAGTTGAAGGATGCTATAGACGAAGGGGACGGTCGGCCTATGGCGTTCATAGTGCAAGAGCGGATGCACACAAATTTGAGCACAGCAATACATTCAACGGGTGGGCCGCAGCCTCCCCCGGAGTACCCTCAGTTGCTTGGAATATTTACGCAAATCGTAGAGGGTCTCAGGCACCTGCATTCTCATGACATCGTCCATTACGACCTTAAACCCGCGAACATTCTTTTGGACAGGCAACTCAACGTCAAGCTTGCAGATTTTGGATCCGCGAAAATAACTGCTGGAACATCCGTGGGGCCTGGGGGAACGATTGCCTACATGGCACCAGAGCGCTTGAGCCGGCAACCAATCAGAGAGCAAGGACAGGCAAAGAAGACGGACATATATTCTCTGGGGGTAGTCATGTGGGAATGCCTGACTGGGAAGAAGCCCCAGCCGCTGAGCTGGAGTCTGCAGAGCGCTGCTGGCCATGACGTCGATGTGGCAGATCCATCACACAGGTGTCCCCAGGCAGCATGGTTTCCGCTCGACAGTGGCCACCCGGCAGCAATGAGAGACCTGGTGTGGCGTTGCCTCAGCTGCGGCTGTAATGAACGGCCGGAATGTGAGGAAGTGGCGTCGCTGCTGGCGGAACTGTCCATGAGTGACCGGACACAGACAGGCGCTGGCACGGACGTTGCCGTGGATGTGTCTGATTGAGGGCAACGATTTGGTGTTGATTGAGTTGATGTGACTTTCCAGAACTAAAGATGGCGGCAGATGGGGGACTGTGGCGTATTTTGGGAAGGAAACGATTTTGCTTTTAAATGAAGTTGTTAGCTATTTTAGAGACCAAAATATAGAATTGTCTGTCACGCATAGACAAATTGTTCTTGGGGTTCCTGTGGTCCTCTGTGGACTCACTGGGTGGCGAAGTAGGGATCCGATAGCGACATCGCCTGAGTATGTGAGGTGTCTCTACTGATTAAAAATTGCAACAGATAGTTGTTGCGAACTGCCGTTTTGGTGTTTATCGCAGGCCGCAAACAGCACCGGATACCAACCAGTGGCACTGTACTTTTTAAAGTTGATCCGGCATGCATAGCATAAATCAGGGTTCCGTGTGTGGCGTGCGCCCGCGCGAAATTTATCTGGCGTGCACAGCATAACGCAAAAGTTGTCCGTAGCTCAATGCCGTATTTGGACTCTTCGAAATGACCTGGTCCAGTGCAATCCTGAAGTATAAATACTTCATACATATATGTAAATATATATTCATATATTAATACATGGAAATTTTCATGTGCACGTGCCTTTGTAGCTGCGATTCTCTGTCCATGCCGGCATTTCCTATGCCACGCTCATGATTTCTGCGCACGCTGCCCAAAGCAAAGTTGTGCCGCCCTGTTTCTGATGGCCGCGCCTTCACGGAGCCAAGTTCGCCCGCTTACACAGCTAGTGCTGCCTCATGGAATCACAATGCCTTTGCATCAGGCAAACTGGACGCGAAATGGCACGTATCCATTGAGGCGCACTACGCAGGCCGGCAGAGAGCTCTGCTCGCACAGTTCGTTCAATAATCAACCGTGACAAACTGTGAGTAATTAGTACACGCCCGCGCTCGAACGTTGGTTGTCTTGATACTATCAAGTTGATAGCTTTGCATCACAAGGAAACGCCCAATGTTTTTTGTCATTCCGCGTCCAGCCGTATTAGCCGAGCACAGAACAGATTCAAATGGATTGCTTGTACTCATTTTAGCCACCTGGGAACAGCGGCTGCACTGCTGCAGTCTTATGCAATGTGTATTTCAGGATCGCTCACAATCCTGCTTGTACAATGCGTATATTTGAACTGCGAACACTTGTGCACGGAGATCCCTGGGCAGCATCTTTTGTGCAAGCACATTTACACCCGAGCTTCCAGTTCAACATTAAAGTTTGAGTGATCATTCAGAAGTACGTGTCACACGTATGTCACATATGTCGCACATCTCATCGAGACGTGAGAATTCATGCCTGCGATGGCCAAAAGTGGCTTCTATCGATAGCCAACGTTAAGATAATTTGCTCCACGGACATTGCCCAACCTCTTGCTGGAGGAGAGAAACCATTACGAACGAATGGGACGGGCCTGTCGATTTGGTGCGGTTTCCAGTGGATACAGAGAATCAGAAACGGATTAAAGTCCAGTAGACCCATTGGATTCGAATCATCTGACGTCCAATGACCAAAAAAGAGATTTCTACCTTGATTTGAACACAATGCAATGGAAACACGGCCCGTATATCACAAATTTCTGGGACCGTCATGAAGAACGGCACATATCGTTAGCTGAATATACTCGTAGTGGCATAACGCATCCCATCGATACATCCACACTAGGTGACCAACCGGACATTACAGAACTAGATCCCCGTTGCAAGCAGCCCAGTTGTTGATATGCGTGCAAAATTTTCTGAAATTAGCCAGCAGTGGCCGCGCCAATCTCAGTATGCAGATTCGCTGCACATTGGGTTCTGACCTATTTCGTGGTGCTCATCCAATTAGCCCACATACTCCTGACCTCTAGATGCGGACGATGCACAATACCCCTCGGATCCTTGCCATTTACATCTGCCAGGCTATCGACTACATCCAGGGTTCTGGTTCTCTCAGTCGAATTGATGGTATCAAGTACACCCCCTGTACATTGATCCCGGATCAAAATTGCAGGAACACATTTGGGAAATTTTTGCCATAGAAATCACTGAACGAATGTTGCACGAAGATGCTGAAATACGATGCGCAGTTGGATGGCGTTCACAGATTCCGAGATTGGCCAGGACTGTCACTCTCTTCAGAAAGCAACCCTGAGGTGGCATGCATGGGATGGATCCATGACGTAGCCTGAAGCTGGGCGGAAGCAGCACGTCACAGGCCAGGTGGAGGCTCTTCAATTCCAACATTCTGTTGTTTTGCTCCCCGGATTTAAGACTGTGGTCGCCAAGTCTTCAGGAAAGCCGCGAAGTCTTTATCCTGATAATGTTTTGCCACACCTGCTGGAGTGACCCGCATGATACTCCAATCTACCTTCTGCAGGGCACAACAACGGCATAACAGATGGTGCTTGACGGCATGTTGTGGCAAAATGAATGCTGCAGCGTATAATACACAGACCCAATAACCTCACAAGATTTGGGCATGTGACTGTGTACTGATGCTGGTAGTGGAGAACAGGACATGCATTGTTTGACGCGAGACAGCTTTTCACTTGTTGTGTGCATCACAAAATCTTCCAGCATCAACTGCTATTTTCAAAGATGTGTGACATCCCTGAAGTACAGGGGACCATTGCATGAAGACATCCATTTTGCAGCTAGAGCATCAGTTTCAGCGGGTGCTTGGCGTTCCAGAGAAGAAATTTGTGATCAACAATACGATACGAATCGGCAAATCTGCACAATACCCTTTTCAGCGGAAGAAGATATACTTCATAATGATTACAAGAACGGGTTCAAAGCACAAAAGACTTCGAAATCGGAAAGATTGGATCCTAAAACACTTAGCATCTAATTTCCAAACAGAAAAAGTAACACAAGATCCCTTTGAGTGTTGAGCACAAAGTAAATTTTAGTCATTTTGGACCAAAAAAATCAATGTTTACTAAGTAAACATTGCTATAAGTTACTTTAACATCTTCAACAATTACCTCGATAATGGTGACCATGCGAAAGCAATACATGAATCTATGTTATTTGTGTTGATAAAACATGGCCAACTTTCTCCTGGATGGCAGCCTATTCTTCCTGCGCAGAACTTTGCATAGGCTGTGGGGGGCTAATTTGTTTTCCATCAAAAGTTCACATGACAAATGAATTAAGTCCTTGATTTGATGGCTGCCATCAAGACTTCTACTACCATTCTGGCGTTCTTGTCAGCATCTTTTCTCAGCAAGATCTCCACGATTGCCCTGTTACCCTTCTTCGCCGCTCTGTGAAGAGCGGTTTCATCATTCTGCCCAATCACATACAGAAATCTTGTCAAAACCGAGTACAAGAGCCGCCATAGCTAAGGTCGCCTCATTCCATGTTCTACAAGTCAGGCTTGATTTTTACGCCGTAAAAACTGATCGCATTTACGTTTTCACACGTAAAAACAGTTTTTACGTTTTTACGCAAAAAAATGCGTAAAAATACGTAAATACAACGTAACAACTGCCCGGTGTACATAAGGACAGTACATACAGTCCGGAGAGTGGCAGCCAGACGCCCTGGAAGGGGCAGGAAACGAGTTCTTGTCAAGCAGCATCATCGCCCTTGCCAAGGGCGAGGTGGACACTGTGTTGCGGGTGCTGGATATGGCGGAAGACTGATCATTGTACGCAACTTTCATCACGTAATATGGGCGTCCAAACGAGCCGTAAAAACGTGAAAATAGCCGTAAAAATAGGGTCTTTTACAAATTTACGTTTTCACGCATAAAAACGTAAAAGTAAAAACGTAAACGTAAACGTAAAAACCAAGCCTGCTACAAGTCCGCCCAGCGATCAAGCCGACCAGAAGAGGCGCCATAGATGTACAGCCAGTGATCGCATCGGCCTTGCAATGGACACGTGTGTGACAAACCAAGACAAGGCACCACAAGTAGAAAGCGACGTCTTCGCGATGCCAGCTGCGATGCCACTCGACATCAATTGATGCCGTCACATCTACAATCATGCCATCGCAGTTAATGTGATGGCGCCACTTTGATAGCATCGCAGTTCGCATCGCAAATACGGTTCTCTCTTATAGTGCACTATGTCTAATTTAGTGTGCATAGCAGCCAATTGACGCGGCGGGGACAGGGGAGTTTAATGAATGTTCTGAAGGGATTCGAGAAGCGGGTCGTACAAAGGGCACCCCTCATAGCCAAAGCTTGCTTACGAGCAAGCAATGGGTGCATGCTTAGCATGGGCGAGACCCATTTCCATATTGTACAGAGATGGTGTAGAGTCTCCAGTGCAAGGAGAGGAGCACCCAACACAAGAACCACAAAGAGCAAGAAAACATGCACATGGGGGGGTTGCGTGGGTGGGTGGGTGGAGGGGGGAGAAAAATGGCGGGTGCTTAGGGTGGGGAAGAAGGAGGGCGGGGCTTCGCGTCAAATTTACCCTTAGCATACCAAAATCGACTAGCACCACTACCAGTCAAAGTAGGAAATGGCAGTATTTCATGTTCCAATCTTCACGCCTAAGGTTCTATGTTTGAACCCCCTCGCTGTGTGATTGAATATGAACAATAACCGATATGGAATGATGTGCAGAATTTTTCCGGTCCAAGGTCACACGTTCAACATCGCCATCACTGCCATTCTCAAGCATATGCTGTTGTGCCGCATGCTCAAGGTATATTGCAGATATTGTTGATAGGGTACGATGCTACTATAGACGACTCCATCTGCAGCTCATTTCAGCTGCACAAGCGCTGCCTGAATGACAACAAATGGAGTGTATATTTCTTCCTTTCACGGCAGCTACCACATTGGCTGGTCGGTTAGTTCAATGCTGAACACGAGACATGGCCCAGTCACACGCGCAATGGCGCAGAGCATCGGATTTTGGAGCTTTCTTCGCACACAAACATCTTGGAAGCAACCTCACCGTCCCACCTTGCATGGAGCATCAGGATTGGCACCCAATTCTAGCAGCTGCCTGACGGCTTCGCAATTCTCTCGCTCAACTGCCGCCACAAGGGCTGTTTCCCCATTCTGCAACAATCGCCAGATTCACCGTCTCTGGATAACTGGATAAAGGGCACCGAATTCAGGCACATTACAGCGCCACGCTCGCTATGGCATACATATAGTTTAGAACGTGAACTCCTTCGTGTCTGTATGTAATTCAGCACAGAACTGATCAGATCCAGAATAATAACGAGCCAGCAATTCCGTGTGAGCTCATCAAGTTCTCAATCAGCACGAAACATGCTTCTCAAGCGTGACCATGTTTGCCCCAAGAAAAATCCTTATCGAGGGCCAATTCCTTCAATAAAAGTTGTGGTTCATCGACATGGAATGGCCTGAACAACTACTTTGTTGCCACAACGATGCACGGAGCAACACAGCTGTATCGTCGTGATGGTCATATCTCTGTTCCCGCACATGATGTGTACAGACAGGTAAGAACGTTTTCCAGCAGAAGCGGGAAGAGATTTACAGTGATAGTCTATTCAATGGCCTTGGAAACCAATTTCTGAAGAGATGGTTGCATGCTAATAGGACATAATTTAATGATTTGCACGATGAACGTCTTAGTTAATGAACATCTCCTAAGCATGGATAACGGGATTCACAATTCACCATAAAAATACCTAAAGCAATGAGACGTAGATGGCAGCAACGTGCAAGAGTGCACTTTTTGATGTTTGAGGATTTGATATTCAACTGGGATAAGGGCACAAATTTATGCAATGTTGTGGTTGCATTCCCGGCAACACGACTCCCAGCAGCGCTCCGATCAACACTGACAAGCGTTGATTCGGTGCCAGCATTGCACCAATGCCGATACCAGCAATATTTGGTGTTACATCAATGATGCTTTACACACAGCACTGCATCAAAGTCCAGACTTTTTTCAGATGTTAAGTATTGCCGATCATATTTGGTCTTGGCGCAGAGCATTGAGTGTGTGACGGGAAACATTGACGACGGAGGGCAATAGTGCGTGTAAACTTTTGCAGAAACAGAGTAACGCACATATAGGGGTTTGGACTTCACTCCTGTTGAGTTTTGTTCATATCATGATGGTGAACCACTGAGCATGGCTCTGTTTGCAACTGATTTTCGACCATCCATCAATTTTAACACAGTTTGTAATTCTAGTATAGCAGTGGGATATCTTGAAACCAGTGTGAGCGCAGGTGATGAAATTGTGACGCTCACCACGCCCACGACATCCATGTCTGCATCGTTCTGTTTCAACACTTTGACAATTCCATAGAATTCTCTGTATGCAGCAGCCATCAAGGCAGTCCTCCCTGCCTATCGCAGCATGTGAACATTGCAGTCAGCAATTGTTGAAACACGTTCAGCTCTCAAGAATGTTAACAAGTTTCGCAGCGAGCAACAGTGAAACCTAAATGGTGAAAAGACACAGTCTGATTGAGGAACTGGGCTAAACCTAGTCAATGGCAAGCGGAGAGAAATCTATTCAAACATTAAGTTCGATACTGCCTTTGTCAAGGCTGACTTGGTGCCAGCATCGCAACAGTGGTCCAACCATTGTATCATAAATGGCTGATCAACACACCTATCTGATGAAGCCAAAGATGGAAAACACCAGCAACGTGCGGCACACGCAAACGCGGCCACTCACTAAGGACCAGCCGAACCTCTACAGCCATGAAATGATTGGATACTTGCACATTTGTCAATGTACCAACACAGCATGGTAATCGCGACCCAGTTACAGAATCTCAAGGCGACCTCACAGCATTACCCAGCATTACCAAATCACATCGAAAGTCGTAGAAATTTTGTCAATGATGCAACGTAAACAAAGTACCCACCTGATCCATGGTGTCGACCCCAGGTTCATGCTTAAATAGCACCTTCACAACTTCCACCCAGCCCTCTTGCGACGCAGCCATCAATGCAGTCATGCCCTTCTGTACGACGAAAATGCCAATCACACATTGCAGATCTTAATTCCGCAAATTGATCAAATGGGGCAGGTTCGACAGGGGCGCACCCTCAGAGTTGATAAACACATCACTATTTGCAAGATGTACGTACAAATCGTACGTACACAAGGTGTTCAAGATGTAGGTACGACTCGTGCTTTGGTCGTCGGAGGACCAAAGCACATTCTAGAGTGGCACCTTGTCTTGTATATCGACGTGCTCCTTTCCACCCGCAGTCGCAAGAGCGTCAGCGACATCAACATGCCCTTTCCGCGCAGCTAGCATCAGGGCTGTCTGTCCTGTCTGCGAAATTGCAAAGAACGTGTGTCTAAAGAAATAGTCACCTGCATTTTGCAACAAAAATTGACCTCCATCCAAGGATCCACATAAAATCGCCAGCATCACAACTTCAGAGAACCCATTGCTGGGCAAGCATTCCAGCACTGCGCCGTGATGACTGCATAAGATCGCAATTTCATACAGCCGCAAAGTATGGACAGCCAATGGGCTCATAACATCCTCGACATCCGATGCACCATTTCAGGCGAAGAAATCCTCTGCCATGTCGTTTGCATGGCAGGGCTTGTGGTGCAACAACATTTGCATGGCAACAGCATCCACCATGTTACAATGTCACGACAGTGTAGCACATGCAGGAAACGAAGCGGTGGCAAATATACATGTACTTGTTTGCAGTCATGATGCAGCGTGACAGGTGCAATTGTGCCCAGGCCGGGCGGCCTGGCGCCCACACATTGATCATCTTCTCGTAAATGCAATCCATTAACAATATTCCCACCATTCAACAAACCTCGATCACTGCATCAATATCGGCTCCATTGTCCAGCAGCACTTCCACAACTGGAAGATTGCCGTTTTCTGCTGCATACATCAGCGCCGTTCTTTTCCGCTGGCAAATTCAACACAAAAGGTCGAAATTGGACATTAATTGTACAGACACGTGGAAAATTGCACAACCTTGAGTAAATAACGCAATGTGCCACGGCAAAATATAACGAAATGTGCTATTAATTGCAGTGGTCTGTCTAGAATTTGACAATGCAATGGAAAACGCAGCAATAAATCATCCAACTGTGCATGTACCAATAGCACATGTGCCAGTGAACTGGAGCGACTTATGGCGCATAGAAAGACCCATAATGAACCACTTGTTGCTGACCACTTGTGCATACTAGCTAGTGTGCAGGATATGCAATATGCACATGGTGCATATGAAAATAAAGTATAATGGCCAGTCGTTATTCCATCGCAGCAGCCAGCATCCGTTGCGCAATTCCAGGCACTTGTTGCCTATATCTTAATATGGCAGCAATACATCCACTTTGTCCTATGCATCAAACGGATTCATAATGGTATTTTCAACAAATTCCAGCAAAGAGGAAAATGTACACCAGTGCTTTGTTGCAAACATTATGGTGACGGTCTTCAGTATTACCAGTCCTCGCAGTCCTTCTCGCATGAAGCATACCTCGTTTGTTGCATTGATGTTCGCTTGTTTGCCCAACAGAGTAGAAACGACTTCTGCATGGCCATGAGCAGCTGCCACAATCATGGCTGTTTTCCCTTTCTGCGCAGTTCCACCACTCAAAGATCGTTCTCTTTGTTTGAGCAGCACGTATTGAAAACTATGAAAGAATATATTATTTAAATTATTATTATTATTTCCGAACATATTATCTGCTTGGTTTTCATCGCCTACCAGGTGCACGGACTGTGTTTTGTCATTTCGTGACAAATGTAATCCATGGATATTGATGATGATGATGATGAAAGAAGAAATCACATAATGGAACATATATAAATTGAAAGACAGCCAGAGTGCCGCACGCATTTATGTAGGCAGATTTGCACGAGGGGGTTCAGGCATTGAAGCAATTGCAAATATATTCGAATAGCATCAATCCTGGCCAATTGCAGCAGAGATGAGAGATTGCAGCAATGAAAATATGGTATGGAGAAGCGTTTCAAAGTATTCATGGCAGCGCCTGAGTGCCTGCCGAGCATGGAAAGCCACACACGAACAAAACAGAACATTTCGACCCACGCAACAAAATCAATCCGAATCTGAGGACGCAAAAATTCCACAATGCCAGAGTGAAAGAGAACGGAGTTAACTTTTGCAAATTCCCATACCTCTCAGTTTAGAAGAGTGTGGGACACACTGACTGCCATGCAGATCCATTCATGCACAACAGTGAGCGATCTCACCGTTCAATTTCGTTACCCCGTGTAGTTTCCCGACGGTTGGATATGCCAGCTGACTTACTGTGGACACATAATCTCCCGCGTCCCTGAACAGGAGCTGTTTGATCTTATTGAATACGGGGGACATTCTGGCCAACAAGAACAACGGCCTTTGATGCAGCACGAACTGGTATCAGTGCATTTTGTGCATTGACACACAAAACAATAGTGCTGAAACGTTTGATACTGTTGGCGTTGGTGCAGCACAGGACTAGTGGCACGTCCTCTTTGCAGAGTTTTGGCAATGTACAGAGTGAGTGTACCTTTTCCCGAGCATCAATATTGATGTCAGCAGCACTGGAAACCAGGTAATTGATAACGCCTATGTGACCGTTCAGCGAGGCCATGATCAGAGGCGTTGCATCGTTCTGCAGTTCAATCGGAGAGCACAAACACCCCCATGTCATAATCCGAGCCAATGCCGACAGCTGAAATGGAAAAGCATGGCAGAATCCAAGTCTTGGCTCAAGAACAGCGTTTCATCAAGATCTTCCTGCTTCCAATTTCAATCCAACTGATCGCAATAGACATGGAGATTTTCTATTTGCACTGACGGTTCTAAATCATTCGCTGCAGTATTAAGTGCGAGCTCCAGGACTGAAAGTTGACGTTGACCAGTGAATGCCATGGACCACATGCTTTGCATCACTCCAGTATGCGGCAATGCACATTTTGATAGCATGTCGGTGAGAAGTCTACCACTAGAGCTCATAAGCCATAGAAAATCCTCTTGGTAATTCAGATTTTGATATCTACACAATCCGCTCACAGAATTAGCCCATGATTTGCTCACAGTGTGCATAGAGTTGCCGCATAAGTAGAGCAAATATACAAAGGGAAAGTTTCTTCCACATCTCATAGTGATTGAATTGTGCCACTGACAAAGCATCATGACGCAAAATGTAAAGCATGTATCTCAAAGATGCAGTTCGACAATAGTTCTGGCAGTTCTGTAGCATTACAGTAACGCAAGCAATGGCATTGCAGTTCAGGATTTCACAAAATGAGAAAGCATACGTTACCTGGTCGCTGTCATTTGGACATGCTCCCTTGTTCAGAAGCATCTCCACAACAGCGACATGTCCATTCTTTGCAGCCAATATTATTGGCGTGCTTTGTGACTTCAAAATGCAACACAAGACGTCAGCATGTAAATCTTGACAGCAAAGCTTTCACATGTCCAAGATACGCACGCAAACTTCAGTCAAAGAATGAGAAATAGCTGTAAGCTCCGTTAAATACGTGCCAAAATTACAGACAACCAGTCATACAGGTGGATGCAATAACTAACGCTCATTACTGTGGTTTTGTACCTACTGTACCTGATGTAGTTGTTGAGCAATTATATCCTCAACATGCGCCATGTTGATGGAGCAGGTAGAATGCATGTGCAAATCAGGAATGCAAGTTTCACTTGGAAACAATGGTAGTCTCGAAATTGTGGACATATCCTTTCAAAATCGTGCTGCACAGAGGCCCACAACCTGTGGCTATGGTGGTCTCATTTCCCCAAGTGTCAGCATGGTCAATTAGGAAAGGAAAATTGGCCTGTGCCCACGGTGAAAGTATTGTCACAAAACTGTTTTGTTGTTTGCATCTCTTGTTTAACAGCCAGTACAGAAGTACAGCATTACGGCCCATCTATCAGCTGCATTTTGCGTTATTTTGGACATGAGCTCCCATGCAATGCACTTGTGTGTATCTGTTTAGGCGCTCAATTCAGATATTCCACACTTTCTAAGGAAAAAGTGAAACGCAGTCCAGGAATTCAGGATTCCTTACAGTGTCTGCTATGTATTTTTCCTTCAAGTTACACCAACCCAATCATTCAGTACACTGCAAGTAGCATATTGTACACAATAGTTCACCTGTGAACATGTCTTCTGCACAGGTTTTGCATAAATGCATTTATTCTCACCTTATCTCGCGCATGGATGTCTGCATTTTTGTCCAAAAATAGCTGCACAAGCTCATGGTAACCCATTTTCGCTGCTGCAGCCAGAGCGGTGAATCCAAGCTGCGAACATGTTCACACCGACTTATTATGCATCAGAAAATTGAAAATCAGTGTGAAATGGGCAGTTTTGACAATCAATCATGACGCCTCAAACCACTAGGAAAAATAGGCTAGATGACACAGTCTTGACACGGTTTGCTCAAAATCCAACTGTGTATTTTGGCAAACATGGTCCCAAAACAACACAGCTAGTACACATATTGACACAGTTTCGACCGTGTACCCTCAAACAACTGTGCAGACTACATGGTTTCCGGATACACGGTTAAAACTGTGTCAATGTGTGTACTAACTGTGTAGTTTTGGGACCACATTTGCCGAAAGTGCACAATTGGATTTTGAGCAGACTGTGTCAGGGCTCTCTCATCTAGCTTGCTTTTTACTAGTGAACAGTTGACCACAGCGACAAAACCGCGTCAACATGAACTTGCATATGCTGCTGCAGAACCGACCAAATTGTCTTGATTACATTGCATTAACGTTCTTCAGATTTCATCCTGGAAGTTGAAGTAATCATGACAGCAGTTCAAACTCAAAACCAACAATGGTTCTCCTTTTCAGGCATAGCTTACCTCATCTTGTAGCTCAATATTTGATCCTGTAGCGAGAAGTATATTAACAATGTCACGATGCCCGTTGAGTATTGCCAGCGCCAATGGTATTCCAGCAACCTGTGCAACTGTCTTGATTTAGATGCCCCAATGCCGGCAAACACTCATGTGCATAGTTGTATATATGCATGCAACATTCAGAAAGGCATTCTTCTTGGGGCTTGAAGATGTTCTCTCCCAGATGTCCCAAAATAGTTTTGTTCGCTTAAAAGAACAAATTTTGAAACAGAACAGGTCTCTGAGTTTGAAGAAAAGATCAAAAATCGGAAATCTGGGTCCCGACTACCAGTTTTCGGACAAAAAGTCAGCGCCAACATCTCTCAGCTGCCTCCAAGCCCGCCCTTGCTAGGGATTCCTGCGGATACTGGCAGTTCTATCCCTTGATGCAGTAAGGCCAAGTCACTATTGACAACCAAGTGCAACCCAACCCACAGCATTTCATCTATTGACCTTTTGGATAGTGTGCTCCAAACTCGTGGCCATACCTTTGGACAATCCTAAGCTAAATAACACAATTTTTGATGACAGCGCAACGTAATACAACAATAGAGAACAGTAAGTTTTGAACACACTTCCTCTATCCCAGAACAATTGCCGCTTATTCATATTTGCTTTTCTTACAAACATGAGAGAAATTGTTCAAATAAACAAAAGAATCGGAAAGAACGAGTGCCAAAACCCCAAGGCAAGTTCAAGCACAAAGTACAGTACAATATTTCCATAGCTTCGTTCTAAGTCAGCCAAAGAAACGTTTAGTTGGCTACAAAATCGGCAATCAGACAATGGTCGCCGATCAAGCTCTTAGGGACCTGCTTTGACGACCCCTGCCCTGTTTCGGCGTGCACTGACCTTCAGACTCTATGGCGTTGCGAGTTCTGAAAGAGTAGCATTGGCGCGCTGGCTAGAAGAGACCCGACCTCACCATGGCGCTTTCTGGCGTTTTTAACCACCTCAAAGAAATTCCAAAGAAGCCTTTGGGGGATTTATGGTTTTTTACCGAGGATGTGGCGTGCTAAAGCACTATCAGCTTTTCTTTACTTTGAAGTTGAAACAAAATAAATGATACCATCCTCTGCACTTACAGCTGTGAATGTAAAGAATGCATATGACTGTTTGTTAGATTTTAGCACAACAACATTGGTGTAAAGTCATGGGAGACATTTGTGGTGGGACGGAGGAAGTAGAAAGTAAACTAGGGAAGGCAAACCAGAAGTTGCACAGTCATACCCTTAGCTTCATTCCTTGCTGCACGGCACAGGCAGTACTTAAGGGCATCGTTTACAGCGGTACAGTGAAAGTCATGGTGGATGTGCCCAATTGCATTGGTTAGCAAGACCATGCTTCCAATTGCACAGTGAGACAGTCAGGTTCCCTTCCCCTTCTTGCCTTTGTACCCCCCTACCTTCTCCTTGCCACCCAACACAGCAAGAAATGCTTCCGAAATTGTCAACGGGAAAAGCCATGCTCGTATCAAGTACATGCAATTTACGTCCTATTCCACAGCATTATTCCATAACCAGCCAAGGGCGCCACTGATTCCACACGGCAATAAATGCATTTTTGCAATGATACGCCTATTGCATTAGCATGTGCCATCTTGCATCGCTAACGTTCATCTTTCCTACAATGTTGCCCATCATGATTTTCAGCTGAGAAGCCGGCGATCTGGCGGTTGGAAAGAGCAAAAGGTTCTGATTACCGAAGAATAAAGTCCTTTGAATATTACACAACCGTTATTGATTTCCTGACAAGCACCTACCCAACTCTCCATGTCTTACTTCTTACTTCCTAAATATATTCGTCCAGTTTCAAGCAACATCTGCAGAGGCGCGCGGCCTTTGGGCCATCATAGAGAAATTTTGTGCACCTAACTTCTTTCCTACAATTGTCGTACAACTGTTTTCTTACTGTCATGGGTTTGCCACCCATTATCTCAGTGTCAATCAGCAAACTCAAATCAAAATAACAAATTCATTACAAGAGCAGTGTGTACCGGGTGTGTACTGGATAAATTTTGCAACACATCAAGATCAATTCGCCAATAGCAAGACAGATGGCACATACATGTGCCTCTTCAGGCAGTCTCAATTGCTACCAAAATTGCGAAGGACTTCACTGCTGCATTTACTTTTCCATCCCTTTGCAAACGATAAACAAAAGGCAGAGACAGTAAACCCCATTAGCTAATGTTGTGCCAGACAAAATACAGAGGAGATTCATGTCTGCAACAAATCGTGCTTCTATTCCAGTTTAGCAATCCAAAATTAAGCAGCAGAAAGGAAACCGCCTTGCCTGCGCATGAGCCGCATCGGAATATGCACAAATAATGGATTCAACTCTGCTTATGTTGCCTTCGCTCACTGCCGCCCGGAGGTCCTGTGGAGTGTCCTGCTCAGGAGGTAAATCAGCGTCAAATTTAGCGCAGCTGTTTTGCTCTAACTGCAAATCTTCCATACTGTTCATGGTCAATACGCAACAACAAAATAAAAGAAGGCGCGCAATAGTTGCAGCTTGAACACTAGATGATGCCAGACACCTGCTCTACATCCGTCACACCAGTGAGGTTCTTGCCATTTGTTATGAAGTGCCAGATCGAATCCACGAGGCAAGCTCACCACAGAAATTGGCTGGGGCTCACTCCGCGCATCGTCCCTCTGCTCGCGAACCTGTTGATCAACTGGCGGCACAGGCACCACATGTACCTGTACAGCAAACACATATCATCGCAATGATAAACAAAGGGCTGTGATGGATGCATGCCATCAAGGAGAGTTGAATATCTGCCCTTTGCATAGGTCATGTTCTGCACATTAGAAGTCATTTTTTGGCAGCATGCTTGCAATGGATGGACATATCTGAGACTCGTCACACGCAAATAAGCAACGCGACTGGACGTCGCCAAATGCAACTAAGAAAGAATATGTGACTGCCTTTCGACCGGATAAAAGAAAACGCCAAGAAACTGCTGCCAGCACACACAAGTCACATGAATAAATACTCAGGAGCCGCAAGAAACCCACCGCAAATATGTGAACAGATTTTTAGCATCGAGCGCTACCACATGCAAAATGTGGGGGCCTGCCCCTACCTATTGGCCACTCGTTCAAAAATTTCTGAACTCCAATGGGCATGTGCAGATATGCCCAAACCATCTTCAAAACTTCCTCAACATGCTATATTGTATCACAGCTGGTAACTTCAACACATAGTTAAGATTACAAGTGAGCGCAACAGCATTTCGTATGCAAGCAGGTCGAATGACCTCTATTTTATCACCTTTTTGAATGGTCACATTATACCCACCGGCCGTCTTCGGTACACTACCCAAAGAGGAATGAGCAGAGCAGCACAGATTTGTGCCAGCTGCGAACAGACTAGACAGTAAGTACGCATGCTTACTCTCAACACGTACGGAACAAGTGGAGATTCTTTTCTACATAACAACAGCAACATGACAGGCAACACAATTTGCACAAGTGATTGAAAATCGCCCAAAACTGAGCACCTTATAGATGCAAAACCTGTACATGTCTGAACAAGAATCTGATCCAACATCAACTCCAGCAACTGATCCAGCAACTCCAATTGCAACTACTATTCAACAGACAATACAGAGTACATTATGCTTCCGCCGTCCCATGCCAAACGTCCTCTATGTGAAAAGAAAGCATTATTTATAAGGACAGCCTCAAAATTACAAGAAAAGTTTAGAATCGGTCCCACAAATTTTACCTACCAATTTTCACGAACAAGAAATGAGCCTCGACCAGTTTGAGCATTGCGTAAAAAGAACAAGCGAAAAATTCGAAGTTTACTAAGCGGAGGGACCCTGCTACAAAACTCTGCCTCAAACTCATAAACACATAGGACGAAATTTTAATTAAAAGGAAGTGTTTTATGGACAAAATGCGCCAAAATACGGAACGTCTAATATGGGAAGTAGAAAGTACAGAAACAGGAGATAATTTGCATTATAAGGCAATACTATGCATTAATAAGGGAAACAAGCTGGCGCTGGTATCCCTATTCGGCATTAGTCCTGGACAGCTTTTTGCACAAGTTTAAATTTAGTTATTTTGGCGAGGCATGCCATGAATTTCTTCCACAAAGGGGATGAACAGAAACAGGCGCAAGTGCCATTCTTCTAAACTCCAGTCTCATGAGTATTGAGACCTGAGCTGGAGTCACACCGAGCACTCTATCCTGTACAATTACCTAAAGGTTCGTTCCATGGGGAGGGAGAGGATGTCTCTCCATGATGCCATCATTGTGACCTTTCTGCAGAATGCAGAGGACAGAACGTCTTTGCACACCCAGAAGAACAAACACGAAAGCCACAATAAGCAGCATGAGGCA